CTAAGGCTAGATGATGGAAAAATTATTGTGTATCAAATGTTAGGTACATTCCTGAACTAAAGGAACCTAATATCCCTAGGTACCCTAGATAGTCAGGATGTAGCTATAAGGCTGAAAGGGGTTGTATAAATGTGTTTAAGAATAATCATATTGTTCTAAGGGGGTCAAAGAAGAATGGCGATACATTTTTGTGGCAGTGATTACTCTAGAATGGGAACAATGCCTTGGTCTCCACAAATCTGAATGATACTGATAAGTGTGCATTCAAGGTTAGGTACATGAGTGAAAAGGGTATGAGTATTCTTAGACAATAGGGGTTATTGGTAGGATAAAATACAACCCTAGATTTCTGTGAAACTGTGTTTTAGGAAAACACATAGAGTTAGTTTCACCAAAGGTATACACTTACCAAAAACTTTTAGAGTATCTACATGCTGACCTTGGGTCTGAAAGAATAGATCTCATGGGGGAATTCCTATTTCTTTTCAATTGTTGATGACTTCAGTAGAAAAGTTTGGTATCCCTACTGAATCTAAAGATAGGCACTGTCTAGATTCAAAACCTGGAAGACACTTATGAAAATCAAATTGATAAAAGTAAAGGCTTTAAGGACGGACAATGGTTTAGAATTCTGCATATGGAGTTTGACAATTACTGTAGGGATCAAGGTATATTAAGGCATAGAACAGTTGAAAACCCCTCAGCAAAATGGAGTTGCTGAAGAATGAACCGAACCTTGTTAAAAAAGTCAGGTGTCTCTTATTCACCTCAGGTCTCCAAAAACTTTTTGGGAGAACATTGACCCTCTGCCTACTTAATAAACATAAGCCCTAATGTTCCTGGTTTCAACTGTCCTGAGTCAAAGTGGTCAAGAAGAGAATTAAACCTTAGCCATCTAAGAGTGTTTGGATGTGCTGCTTATGCACATACTAGTGATGGGAAATAGAGCCCAGGTCCATAATTGTCATTTTTAGGATACCAGGAGGGCACTAAAGGTTACAGATTGTGGGATAAGACTGCACCAGGGGTTAAGATTATTACTAGCAGAGATGTGATTTTTAATGAAGGGGATTTCCTTTGCAAGTTTGCTAAGTTTTGCAGGATCTCCACAACAATGTAACATAACCAAACACCACCAATTGAGGTGGAGGTAACCATCAGGCAACCAGAGAATACCCACACTGAAGTGTATCCTGCACCAGAAGAAGGAATTACACCTGATGAACCTGACCAAATGAGATAAAACAGAGGAGGCCCAAGGCCCTTGCAGGATGATTTGCAGGATTACCAACTGGCAGGGACAGGACCAGAAGAGACATAGGCCACCAGCAAGATACTCATTTGCAGAGCTAGTCTATACGGCCCTAATGGCAGGAACTGAAATTCTGAGGAGAACCAGAGTCTACTCTGAAGCAATCACCTCAAGGACAAGCTAAATGGTGGCAAGCAATGACAGAGGAAATGAACTCTCTACAGGTAAATAGACTTGGTCCCTAGTCCCTAAACCTAAACACCAGAAAATTATACAGTGTAAATGGTTTTATAGATTAAGAGAGTGTAGATTAAAATGAACCACCTAGATCAAAGCTAGATTGGGGCCAAGGGGTTCACACCCAAAGGGAGGGCATAGACTTCAATGAAGTCTTCTCTCCCGTGTTAAATATAAACCATTAGAATGATGTTGTCTGTAGTAGCTCACCAAGACCTAGAGTTAGAGCAACTTGATGTGAAACACGCATTCCTTCATGGGATTTAGAAGAACAAATTTACATGGCCCAACCAATAGGTTTTTGTAGACTGTCTAGACCAGACCATGTATGCAGACTGCATAAGTTCCTTGTATGGACTAAACAGTCACCCAAACAGTGGTATAAAAGTTTTATACCTTTATACTTAACCTAGGATTCACAGAGAGCAGTATGATAACTGTTTTTACTTTGACTTGAAATGTCATGCCTATTTACTTGTTGCTTTAGTTGATGATAGGCTCCTGATTAGTAAATCAAAATCAAAGATAACTGAACTAAAATCTAGACTTAGTTCTGAATTGATATGAAAGACCTAGGAGTGGCTAAGAATATTGGGAATGATGATAACAGAGATAGAACCAGGAATACCGTAAAGGTTCATCAAACACCATACCTACAGAAGCTAGTTACCAAATGTTGAATGTCTGTTTGTAACCGTAACAATGCCTCTTGCAAATCATTTATTTTGTCTAAGTCCCAATGCCAAGAACTCTGCGAAACCATAAAAATGGAAACTGTCCTTATTCAAATGTGAAGGGTTTGTGATGTATGCAATGTTAGCACTAACCGATTTAGCTTTTGCAATTTCTTTACTGGGTAGGTTCATGTCAAATCCAGGAAGTGATCACTGGATTGCATTGAAATGGGTATCAGTATAAAACTGTACTGCATGTATAGGTTTAGAGTATTGTAAAAGAACATCTACACTTGATCTTGTGGGGTTTGTTGGATTCAGACTTTGCAGTGACAGGATGCAGAGTCACCCACTGCCTACTGCTTCACCCTTAAGGGAATTGCATCAGCTGGAAATCAACCTCCAGCCTCTAGTTGCCCTATCAACAACTGAAGCAGAGTATATGGCATTGGCAGATGCTTCAAGGAGGTTGTATGGATGCAAGATTTTTGACAGAATCTGAATTGACTGACAGCAAAGTGACTATCTTCTCAGACAGTCAAAGTCCATACTGTTAAGTAAAAATCCTATCTACCATGAGAGAACAAAACATTTGGACGTGAGATTTCACTTCATCAGAGACCTAATTACCAGAGACAGATTGATGAAAGAAAGTTCCCATTGAAGAGAATCCACAGATATGGGAACAAAAATTGTCAGTCCAGCCAGTTCAAGCATTGCATGAACTTGCTATTCCTGAAATAATCAAAGCATCACCAGAGCTATGAGGGAATAAGTTGAGGCAAATGCACTAGAAATGGGAGTCAGTAGAGAGAGGGTTTTATGTCTTCAAGGTGGAGATTGTAGTGTGAAGACTGACGCGTGCTGTGTCACTTAACCAGCACGCTGTCGTTTCAAGCATGACTGGACCATCATTTTTGAGAGATCCAACGGCTGTGCTTAGTCCATCCTGGTCAACGATATAAAGTGAACTTTTCTCTTTAGTTTTCAAGTTTGTAATTCAATTGAAACAGGGTTAGGTATTGCTCTGCTACGGTTCATCCTTTGCTCTAAATCTTGGTTCTGTGTAACGATTTGAGTGATTGATTTGTCATTCTATTTGAGGGGTTTTGTCTCTCGGTTGGCTGGGATTCTGGGTGTATAGTTTCCAGGGCTATTAGTTTACCAGATAGGATGATTTCAGGTTTGATTGAATCTTTCGATCTTGTGTTGTAATTTATAAACTGTTTCCAAATAGTGGTAGTCGACGACTTTCCGGAGCTCAACATGGACGTAGCCTTCCAAATCTTGGAAAGGTAACCAAGGTAAATTATGGTGTTCTTGATCTTTGTGGATGTGTTTGTTATTTGGCTATAATCTTGGTTTGTGATTGTGTTATTACAACACTTAATTATCTGATCATCATAAGAAATTTCTTTCACATAGTATTTTCCAGAACCGTATTGTAAGATGGGTTTGTTGCTCTGGCAAGTAAGTTCAAAAACAGAATCACCGGATTCCGCTGGAGGGTCCTTTAACGAGAATGGGTATCGTATATCTTTTATGTCTCCACATGAAGAAGAACACGCAGCTTGTTGCACTTCACCAATGAATAGAAAGAGCAACAGAGAAAACAGAATGTTTGATGATTCCCCCCTTCTCATGGTTTCTTCCTTTCCCAGGATACTACCAATGGCAATTTGGATATAAAAATATGATAGAAATTGGAAAGATGCTTTATGGTCATGTCGAACTGTAACGTAGAATTTACTAGACAAAATTAGATGGTATCTTTGCTACACTATTGGGTCTCTGGTACATGTTAGTCATTGGTTTGAACAATCTTTCAGTAAAAGGAAGTCTGTTAATCCTATATAGTAGTGCAGAACAATCTTTTTTCAAAATAGGAAATATTTTATTGACTATAGAAAGATGAATAGAGAGGTTGAAAAAGTTTGATGCTCCTCTCCTTATGAATTTGAATAAGCAATATGCCATCAATTGGAAAGATAAGTATTCTTCATGGAAGCTGCTGTTGGAATTGACAAATTAATTTGCGTTTCTTCGTTTACGCAAGATCTGGAAACACACTGCACACAAAGTATTACCCATTAAAAAAATAAAAGGAACAAACAAATAAGGTTCACGATGTGATTCCGAAACTGCTGTTGGAACTAACAATTAAAAAGTTTATTGACAAATTGGCATATACCCCAAAGTCTAAAAAGATGGCCTCACAAGACAGGATGTGGTCATGAAAATACTGTCAAAAGGATAATATTTTTGTGCAAATAAAAAAAATAAGAATCAGAATCATCAATATCGAGTTTTCATTAATATTATTATTGCTTTGCAAGTTGTGTGGTGAATGGTGATGTATGAGTACAAGTTAAAGTTATCACATTATGGGGCAGGATGTTTGAGGGTTATAATTATAAGTCCATTAAACGAAATCCACTTTCAGCTGAACAAAAACTAGATACTTCTGCATCCATACATGCGCGCTCAACTGTTTCTGCTACAAAGACAAAATAGCCCATTAATTTGGAAAAATTAAAAAAACAAAGCACTTCATTATAGATTTAATCGATTTTAAAGTTGGCAAATATATATATATATATCTTATGAGATTTGAGTTAATTATAAGCAGATTGTCTCGATTTAAAGATAAACGAAAACCTCCCCTCAGGTTTTGAAATTTAAAATTCATGAAAAATGATATTTGAAATAATATTTCAATAATTGAACATAATGGTCAAAGGGCATTTATGTCTTTTTATATAAACTTGGAAAAAAAATAAACTTGAAGAAACCTAATCTTTCTTGGTTTCACTCTTTTCAATTAAAGAAAATTATTTCAAATTTACACATTCAATTCGGAAATTAAACATTGCTATCAATACACAAGCTTTCCTCCATTGATTCTGCTAACAGTAGCTCTGTTGAACTTGAGGAATCTAATTCAAATTGAATCTGATCTCTTACACAGCTATGTTGAGAAGAAGAAAAGAAAGGTTTAGGAGGCATCTGCAAGTCATCAATGCTCCCTTCTAACATTTCTCTTACTTTGGTAATTGATGGACGATCCGCTGCATTCACTTGTATGCACCATAACCCAATTATGCACAGTTTTCGTGCAGTCCCAGTTTCATTATTAGCCCCGTCTTGGAGCTCTAGATCTCCTCCATTGAGTATTTGGTCATATACCCATGATGGGAAGTATGCTTTGCTTGAACGAGTTTTCATTGAAAAGGAATTCCTTCTCCCTCCAGCCAATTCCAACAATAACATTCCAAAACTATAAACATCTGACTTACAAGAAATAACCCCAAAATTCCTTGAAATCAGCTCTGGAGCTATGTATCCTATTGTTCCTCTTGTAACACTAATGGAGACAAAATCGTTTTCCTTTGGATAAAATTTTGTGAGGCCAAAATCAGCGACCTTTGGGATGAAATTGTGGTCAAGCAAGATATTGTGAGGCTTGATATCGAAATGAAGAATGCAAACATCACATCCTCCATGTAGATACTCAATCCCCCGAGCTGTTCCTAAAGCAATTTCGCGGATTTTCTTCCAAGTAAATGACTGTCCTTTACCCCTCTTTGAGAAGATGTGCTTATCAAGAGATCCGTTAGGCATGTACTCATACACAAGAGCACGATTTCGTCCTTCTGAACAAAATCCCAATAATTGCACAATATTAACATGGTGAATTCTACCGATAGTGGAGACTTCATTGATGAATTCTTCTACGCTAAATTTGGAGTTTTTTAACACTTTAACAGCAACGAAACAACCACTACGAAGCTGCCCTTTGTAAACTGATCCGAAGCCACCTTTGCCTAATTCATAGCTGAAACTGTTTGTCATTGCAATTAGCTCATAGTAAGAATACCTTTTAGGCATCCAAGATTGTTGATTGCGAAGAAATTTCTCTACGTTATCCACTGTTTTCCTTGTTTTTTTATATTTGTTGAAAATATACACAAATATAACACTTGGAGCAAGGATAAATTTGACGATAAGAACAACTGCAACCGTGAAAAAAGGAAGTTAACTCAATGTCTCAACGTTTTTAGTTAAGAGTTAATGCTATAAAGAACAGGAATTCCATAGAACAAGATTTTAATTACCCCACAGAAAGCTTACAAAGACTGCATGACTTATGTCAGACACCCACGTGTCATACTCCGGACCATATGGATCAGCAATACCTGCAAAATCACACAGGAAGTAAAGCCAAGAATAATAATTTTGAGTGTATCAATCGGGCAAGGCAATAAGAACAATAATTTGATCATGGAAACTATACCAAATAATGTAAATAGTTCACGCCATGGTTGAAGCATGTACACCCTCAAGAATAACAGATAGCCAGCAAAGCCTGCGTAAGCGTGCGTAAGCGTGCAAGAAATAAAAATTAAGCCCGGACAGATGATTCACAAAATTTGAGAAAATATGAATCAATTAAAAATATTCATCACAACCTCAACACCTATGTATACAGAAAGATAAGCTTACTTTTAGAGCAATGGAAATTATCTGCGTAGAACATTTGAAAACAATTGCCCCCATCGTACCAGCGAAGATCAAAGCCTAACTGCAGCAACTTCTGGATGGTTTCATAGGAAGGATTTGTCTGAATCGGAAGAAGCATAGGAATACTTGAATTGAACTAGCATGAATCTTGACGATAGGTTGTTGTCGAGCTATCATCATAGTAGACATAAACATGGCACTGGTTTCCACTCAAACAAGGAACTCTTATGTACGAGGGATGACTGAAATTCGAAGGGCAGTTCAAAAACTGGGCTTCTGTATAGTGCTTAAAATGTCCTCCTAGACTCGAGGAATATTCTAATCTTAATTGAATTCCTGTTCTGTTGTCATAAAAGAAGGAAGTTTCAAAGAATGACAGAGGTTGGGATGGAAGGGCGCCAAAGCTTCCGTTGGCTAAGTTAACGTCAACAACCGTAATTATCTGATCATCATAAGAAATTTCTTTCACATAGTATTTTCCAGAACGGTATTGTAAGATGGGTTTGTTGGTCTGGCAAGTAAGTTCAAAAAAAGAATCACCGAATTCCGGTGGATGGACCTTTAACCGGAATGGGTATCGTATATTTTTGATGTCTCCACATGAAGAAGAACATGCAGCTTGTTGCACTTCACCAATGAATAGAAAGAGCAACAGAGAAAACAGAATGTTTGATGATTCCCCCCTTCTCATGGTTTCTTCCTCTCCCAGGATACTACCAATGGCAATTTGGATATAAAAATATGATAGAAATTGGAAAGATGCTTTATGGTCATGTCGAACTGTACTTATAAGTCCATTAAACAAAATCCGCTTTCAGGATTTCAGCTGAACAAAAACTAGATACTTCTGCGTCCATACATGCACGCCCAACTGTTTCTGCTACAAAGACAAAATAGCCCATTAATTTGGAAAAATAAAAAAGGAAAGCACTTCATTATAGATTTAATTGATTTTAAAGTTGGCAAAAATATATATATATCTTATGAGATTTGAGTTAATTATAAGCAGATTGTCTCGATTTAAAGATAAACGAAAACCTCCCCTCAGGTATTGAAATTTAAAATTCATGAAAAATGATATTTGAAATAATATTTCAATAATTGAACATAATGGTCAAAGGGCATTTATGTCTTTTTATATAAACTTGGAAAAAAAATAAACTTGAAGAAACCTAATCTTTCTTGGTTTCACTCTTTTCAATTAAAGAAAACTTCACAAACAAGATAAAAGCAAAAAAGAAAAAGAAAAAGTTCTTGTCACCCACTAGGCGGTGATTGCAGAAAAAGTTCCAGGCCAAATCATGTCTGAAGACCAGGCCAGATCTTTGTCGCTGAATTGCCATTGTGATACAATGGGCTACTTCACCCTCCAATAGCCCTCCCCCTCTTTGCACTATTTGTGGTTTTTTTTTAACTTTATTTTGATTTTATTATTGGTTTACAGTCTTTGGGTGAAACAGCATGCAAGATGGTGAATGAGTGTTATGAGTTTTTGTGTGTGATTGAAAAAGAATTTGCAGTGGTATTGTTGGATAAATGAAATTGTTAGAGTGACTTGAAGAATTTTGTTTGGGTTTGTTGGGGTAAGTTAATTTTAATTTAGTTTCGCCATAGAGGATTAATTAATTTGGACTAAAGCTTTAGATTAGTGAAAGATAAAATACATCACTTATTTTTTTATAATTCGAATAAATAAAAGTTTTTTCATTAATTTTGGATCAAAATTAATATTTTCATGATTTGAATAATTATTAATTATATTTCAATGGTCAAAGTCGATGGCTCCCGCTCTTAGCCTTAAAAAAAAAGAAAAAAAAAAAAAAACTTTGGCATTATTAAAGAAAGAAAATGACTTAGAAAATTACAGCCTTGAACTACACGTTGTTTCGCTGGACCACCATATCTTTAATTCATTATATAAATCATTTTAGCTATGTCAATACAAAGTTATTAAGATAGGTGGAGTGTTGAAATTAGTGTTTCTGGATGGACTTGTTCGCTTTCATAATCACCCTCTAATTAATCAACTTCTTTTGTTTAATCATTATCATGGCGTCTTGGTCCCTTTCGTGTTTTTCTTTGCTCCAAAGATTCTAGCTTACATTATTACTGTTGGTTGTATTGTCCGTGCTGACCATTTTGATAAGCTAAATAATTTGTATGTAACAGCTATAAATTCACTAAATTTAAAGTAAAAACGGAAAGTGAAGCAAGTATTTATTAAAGAAGCAAAAACATGTAGTGGGGTGTTGATGTTAATGTGATGGATTTGCTTTAGTATTTATTAAAACGCCGTGATGCACGTTGAAGTCAGATCTGGACTTTGTCCAAAAACTTGATTTGCTTTTGATTATTTTATTTGCAAAAACGCATAAAGACATAAACTCTTGGTAGGATAGTAAGAGGAACTTATAGTCAAGACCATACTTGCTCTTTATAGGGTCATATGCATAAACGCGGACAGAGCTCCTGACAGATAATAACAAAAAGAACTTATAGTTAAGATAAATTTGAGGAACATAAAGTAAAGACAGATATATGTAGTACTACAAAAAAGGTTATTAAGGACACTTAAACTGTCTAATAACATCAAAACGCCTTTAAATAAGAATAATAATAAAAAAATCTATTGAAGTATGTTACAACTTATAAAATATTTGAAACCGTTTAATTTCTTTAAATCTTTACTTAACGTAGATGATTGATCTAATTTTAGTGTGAAAGACATTATATGTATTAGTCTATGTTGAAGTAATAGCATGAATGATACTTTAACAAAATATATTTACTATAAAAAAAAATATATATATTTTTATAAAACTGTCTAAAAGTGTTATTAAGGACATTCTTAATGCGAACATCGTCTTTTTAATCGTCCACTTTGTGTATTTTGCAGTAGTGATGGAAACAAATTTGGGAAACGTGTAAAGACCTAAGCTGTTGATATAGGGCAGCAGAGGAGCACATTAGTCAAGATAGAAACTTTTTATATATAGGCTAGCAAGAGGAACCTATATAAAGTATGGGTGGTTAAGATCATGTCATGTTCAAATGCAACTCCTTTGTAATTTCTGGAACCAAATTATTGACGACAGAGGTCCTTCTTAGCCCATTAGGAACTCTTAATAGGGTAGCAAGAGGAGCTTATAGTCAAAGATGACATTCAAGTTGTCAGGTCTAATTACTAAATGCATAAAGACCTAAAGACTTTAAACTTCCACATTTATTTAAAAGGAATTAATGACAAGTAATAGTAGGGAGGAATGAGATTTCATGTTCAGAGACGACACTTTCTTAACATTCTCATATATTATAAATTGCTATCGGATGGATAAGATTTCATCTTCATAGAGTAGCAAGAGAAACTTGTGACCAAGATATTTCATTGGCTGTTATGCTGGACATGGCAAGAAGACTTGAGAGTCAATTCAAAGTCAAGATAATTAATTCATAGAAACGCGTAAAGACCAAAACATTTTGTAGGGTAGGAGGAGGAACCTAGCATCAAGATAGAAACGACTTTTGATAAAGTAGCAACAGCAAGAGGAGGAAGAATTAAGATAGAAACTTTTGGTAGGGTAACAAGAGAAACTTATAATCAAAATAATGCAAGCGGTGGAAACTTAGTCAACATATCTAAAATTTTGATTCAAACACATCATACGACCTTTTATCATCAGGAAGGACCACTCATATGGTAATTAATGAGTATTACATGTATAGAATTAGCATTCATTTAATGTAAACTGCCAGAAAAAATCAACATCTTAATAGTGTCTCTTGGACAAACACAGTCCACATAGTGTTCTTCACGGAAGCTGCTGTTGGAATTGACAAATTAATTGAGACCATTTAAGTTGCTGAACAATATTTAAATTGTTGTACATGCAAAATGTCAATAAAGATGGCCTTATGAAACATGATGTGGTCCTGAAACTACTAGTCAAGAATATAATAGTCTCTCAAAGAAACAAAAATATCTTTGAGGATCATAAGATTTTTTTCTTATGGAAGTTCAGTGGTGATGTTTTCAGTAGCAGTTAGCACATTATAGCGCATAATTATTTGAGGCCTAGAGCTTGGTCTATTAAACAAAATACACTTTCAGGATTTCGGCCCAAAGTTTTTATAATACAGACAAACTATTCTACATTGGGTAAGGATGAATGGCCCATTCATTTAGAGAAACAAAAAATTAAAAAAAAAAATTACAAATTTAATTAAACCGACTGACATCTTTCCTGATACTCACCATCCAGAGCTTTTCTGAGAATTGGTCACCGAACTCAAGATAACCAACTTCCACTTTGCTATCTTGAGTTTGAGGGGATATTAGAAATTATATTGCGCATAAAATCAGTCTATTCCCAGGACTATATCAACGGATATATAGCTTCATTGTATGTGTAATTACGTACTATATATTGTTATACATTGTATAAGCCTTTAAAAAGGCATATTATTGTATATTTTAAATACATCTTTTGAATACAATATTCATTTACATTCACAAGCCGATTTACTTATCTTTGAGAATATGTACTTCTCTTTCGAGAAAAATCTCAGAAGACTAACATGCATCTACCGAGTGTAACTACTTCATTAATAGAACTCTTCGCCATTTCCTTTCGAATGTAGGAACATTTTAACTCAATTGGTTCTTGTTGGAGAGTTTTCCTCTATATAATAGCAACTTCATTAACCCTTGGCTGAGGCTATTAAATTTAATGGTTATTTTGTTAATGTCACAGTAAGTGCATTTGGATGGACAGAGTGTCCTGTAGTCTTTGAAGGAACTTCTTAATTTACAGTTGAGTCTCTTTTCCTTCGTATAATTTCCTCGATAAAGATGATGCACCAACAGCAGTGTATGTGGATGCCAAAATTAAGAACACTTATTAATTTGGTATTGAATTTCATGGAATGCTGACCAGAGTAATTTGTGTCCAACCTATAACTATAGGACGATAAGAATCTGGTAAATCTTAAGTTTGTTGAACAATACGATCAAAAATCAAATTTATGGGAAGGAAAAGAGGAGACTGTGTTGAAGAAACAATCAAAATGTCATAACAAGCTGGTTTCAATTGCTGCAGTATGCAGCATTCTACAAAAGAGATGCAAATTCTCATCAGTCTTATTTTCTTAAACATTACATGGGTGCAACTAAACATAACTATCATTATACAAGCATTCCTCCATTGATTCAGATAGCAATAACTCAGTTGAAGATTCTGATTCAATCTCTCCGATAGAGATATGTTGAGAAGAAGAAAAGAAAGGCTTAGGAGGCATCTTCAAGTCGTCACTGCTTCCTTCTAACATTTCCATAACTTTGGTCATTGAAGGACGATCTGTTGGCTTCACTTGTATGCACCACAACCCAATTATACACAATTTTCTTGCTATGACGGTTTCACTTTCAGTCACATTTTGGAGCTCTAAGTCTCCATTCATGTTTATTTGGTCATATACCCATGATGGAAAGTATGCTTTGCTTGAATGAGTAGCCTTTACATCAGAATTTCTTCTCACTCCGACCATTTCCAACAACAACATTCCAAAACTATAAACATCTGACTTACAAGAAACAACTCCAAAGCTCCTTGAAATCAACTCAGGAGCTATGTACCCTATTGTTCCTCTCGCAACACTGATGGACACAAAATCATTTTCTTTTGGATAAAATTTTGCAAGGCCGAAATCTGAGATTTTTGGGATTAAATTATGATCTAGCAAGATATTGTGAGGTTTGATGTCAAAATGAAGAATACAAACATCACATCCTCCATGTAGATACTCAATCCCTCGGGCTGTTCCCACAACAATTTCATGTAGTTTCTCCCAACTAAATGATAATGCTCTACCCCCCTTGGAGAAAATATGCCTATCAAGAGATCCGTTAGCCATATATTCATAAACAAGTGCACGTTTAGATCCCTCAGAACAGAATCCCACCAACTGTACTATATTTACATGGTGAATTCTACCTATTGTGGAGACTTCATTGATAAATTCTTCGCCATTGAACTTCGAGTTTTTTAGTACTTTAACAGCAATTAAGGAACCGCTATGAAGTTGTCCTTTATAAACTGATCCAAACCCACCTTGACCTAGTTCCTCTTTGAAGTGGTTTGTTCTTGCAATTATCTCAGAGTAAGAGTACCTTTTAGGCATCCAAGACTGCTGATTATGCAGAAATTTCTCAACTCTATCCACTATCTTCCAAGTTGCTTTATATTTGTTGATAATATACAACAATATGACTATTGGAGCAAATATAAATCTACATATAAGAACCACTGCAAGCCATATATCAAAGAAAAACTCAAATACTGTCAAGATGATATCAATTTGGATTCCAAACATCTCTCCCGGCACAGTTAGTACAGGTTTCCAGAAGTTACGTCCTACATAAGCTCACAATTAATAAAAATTAGAACAGACATGTCTTGGACAACAGAATCGGAATTCCAGCAAAGAAATCGTACCTAGGTTAAACGGTGCTAGCGATTGAACCATAAATTTCGGAAAGTATGAGAGAAATTCCTCCCAACTATCTGCATAAGCGCACAAGACATACGAATCTTACTTATATATAAAGAGATCAGGGAGACGATTCTCAAAATTATTTTCATATAAGATTGAAAATTTGTAATCAATCAACATTAAACTATCACTTGTGAGCGGAAAGATAAGCTTACTAAGAGGCCTGACGTAGCATTTATCAGATTCGCAATAACCACCAGCTTTAATACAATCTCGGCATTCAATTGACCATCTAAGATCGAAACCGGACTTCAGCAACTTCCAGATGACTTCATAAGTAGGAGGTATTACATCCGCGTGAAGTATAGGAACCATTGATATGAACGAACAATAGCTTGACTCCGGAAGATCAGATATTTCTTTTCGGTAGCCACCAATATTGACGTAAACATTATAAGACTGATCTCCGAAACAAGGAAGTCTTCTATAAGCTGAATCACTGATATTTGCAGAGCAATTTAGGAATCTGGCAAATTCATCGATTTTAGAGTAAAGTGAAAAGAAGTTCTCCTCATAAGTAAAACCACTTGTAAAAGAATCACTTATTGATAGAGATTTGTTTGGAAGGTTGCAGCTTCCATTGGCTAAGTTAATATCAACAACTCTTATTCTACGTTCCTCTTTATAAAGTCCGGTCACATAGTATGTTCCTGAATAAAGTTCTAGGATAGTTTTGTTGCTCTGGCAAGAAAGTTCAAAGTCACGATCACCGCATCCTGGTGGATCTCCCTTGGGACGAAAAGGGTGGCTTATGTTTGTGAGGTCTCCACATGAAGAAGAGCATGCTTGTTGAAGTTTATCTGCTTGTATTTCACTGATGAAGAGAAAGATCAACAAAGAAAACAAGAAATTTGAAAGAGCTGATGGTTCTTCCCTCCTCATGATTCCTCCTCTCCTGAGATTTGGATAAACAATAGTAATTGGAAGTTTGCCTGCACTATGGTTATGACAAAACTAGATGGACGACTTAAAGACTTAGAAATTATCTTTTTCTATACGTTGTGTTACATGTTAGTCAATGGTTAGAAATTTCTCCCAACAAAGACTTAACTAAAAAATGACCCATAGATCACAGTGGTCAAGACGACCAAATATAAAGTTAACTTTACCAAAAATAAATTTAAAAAAAAAAAAAGGTATCACAGATCCATCAAAGCTTACGTAATTTTAAATAGTATAAATCTCCATAATTTTCACATCACAAATTGACATTTTCCTGATGTTAGATTGCTAGTTATATCCAGGATGAGAAGCTGTAAACTACTGCCAAAACAGTAAGAAACAGAAGCCATAAACATTTTATCCAAATATATTTCAAAGTAATTTTGTTACTTTAGTCACAATCACTATAAGGCAGTCAAAGTCCACATCTCCTGAAACAAAAATTTGTTGTGAGTGATAAAATTTCTAATCAAATTGTCGTCTATTTTACTAAAAGTCTATAACGATGGCCATTGTGGTCCTGAAACTAAATACAAACAACATAACACGTCAGGCCTTATTAAACTTCCTCGCAGCACACCAGATTGGAACCTTACTTAATATTCAATCCTAAAATTTCTAGACTGAACTGAACACAACAACACATATATTGTACGTTTCAAAATTCAAAATATATCCCAAATATATGAGGACATTAAATTAATAGCGAGTTTGTCGTCTATTTTACTTAAAGTCTAAACATGGCCATTGTGGTCCTGAAACTAAATACAAAGAATATAACACGTCAGGCCCTATTAAACTTCCTCTCAGCACACCAGATTGGAACGTTACTTAATATTTGATAGGAACCCCGAATTCTACTAGAATTTAGCTTAGATTTCCAAAACCAAAACACAAGACAGGTGAAAGAAAACTTCTATATATTGTATTGATCTGAATTTAAGAATGGAAATATCAGTAGGTTCATGAACAAGCAAGCAAAAGTTGAAACAAACTGATAACACTAGCAATTCGAGGTGCTAGGAGCCTCCCACTACAAATGTTCACTAGTATATCAAATTGTATCCATTTCAGCATCGGAAGAAACAAAGGGCTTTGGAGGCATTTCTAAGCTTTGTATATCACCTTCAAGCATTTGTATTACTATTGGCATTGAAGGCCTTTCTGTTGGATTCCATTGAATGCACCAAAGTGCCACAATTGAAAGCTTCTTGGCAATTTCTTCATCTCCATCTGCCTCAATTTCTAAAGCAAATTCTTTACCTTGACTCACTTTGTTATATATCCACTCTGGAAAATAAATTTGGCTTTGATTCTCAATTGAAAGATCAATATTTTTCCGACATCCAACCATCTCTAACAACATCATTCCGTAGCTAAATACATCGGACTTATAAGAAACTTCTCCAAAGTTCCTGGAGAACAGCTCGGGTGCTGTATATCCTGGAGTTCCTCTAGCCGCAGTCATGGATATGATACTTTGATCCTTAGAGCATAGCTTAGCAAGCCCAAAATCTGAAATTTTTGGGCAAAGATTATGGTCTAGTAAAATATTGTGAGGCTTAATGTCAAAGTGAAGGATCCTCTGGTTGCATCCTTGGTGAAGGTACTCTATTCCACGTGCAACACCTATTGCAATCGTTTGTAGCTTCTCCCAATTCAATAGACGATGAGTTGATTCACTAATCTTTGAGAAGATAAACTTCTCAAGAGATCCATTTGGCATGAACTCATAAATAAGCGCGCGACGTGTCCCTTCTGAGCAAAATCCCAAAAGACGAACAATGTTAAAATGGTGTATCCTACCGATGGTAGCCACTTCATTGATAAATTCTTCACCATTTCCTTTCGAATTTTCTAACGTCTTAACGGCAACCGGAATTCCATTAGAAAGTTTTCCTCTAAAGACACTTCCATAGCCACCTTGACCAAGTCTGTGCTTAAATTTATTGGTGATCTTCTTAAGCTCGCTGTAAGTATATCTAGTTGGATTGAGGGTCTTGTAGTCTTCCAGGAACTTCTCTACCTTTACTTGAATTTCCTTTTCCTGCTCAGATTTCCGAGATCTATAAACAAGAAATATCACCAATGCTAAAACAACAAGGCCTCCAATACATGTGGATGTGGATACTGCAATTTTAACTCCAGGACCCCAAGGATCTGCATTTCAAAAGAAAAAAAAAATTAGCACAAATTACAAATGATTTGAAGGTTGCTCGATGCACAGAGTAGAAAAAAGAAACGAATTCCGATTTTAGATGAAAAAAAAAGAGGCGCAGAGGCTGAAATAAATTAAAGATACAGAGTATATCAGAAAACAGAGAGCTCTGTCTCACGTGGTTGGTTCAAACAGATTGTTGAATTGCTTGTAATGTTGTAACGACACATATCCCCTGATTTCTCGCAGCCTTGGCATCCATATTCAAAATCATTCCATCCTAAGACGACTCTTTGTGTGCTCGAATCCCTCATAAGAGCTTTCAGCAGATCAAGTTCAGTCGAAACATTAAATGATTTGTATGCTCTGCAAGCTGAAGGAAGCTCATCCATTAATGTATCAGAATCTATTACATAAACAAAATTTTTATCACCACTTACACAATCAACCGGTCCAATAGCCCCATATAAGTAAACCGTCTCAGTGCAGTTCACTAAAGCTTTCCCCGACCGAAAAGGGAAGAAAAAAAATTTGGAGTTTGTGATATTAAAAGAGAGAAGACTTTGTATTGGGCATGTGGTCTCTTGCACATCTCTAATGGTGATAATGCTGTCACGATAAGAAATTTCTTGGACATAGTAATCACTGGAAGATGATGGAAGATGCAAGATAGTGTTGTTATTTGAGCATGATAATTCAAACCCTTCATGGCCACAAAAATTTGGCTGAGTATTGAGTCTAAAAGGAAATCTGATGGTTGGACCCTTTTCGCTGCAATTTGTAATTGGACAAAATTCAGNGAGTTTTCCTCTATATAATAGCAACTTCATTAACCCTTGGCTGAGGCTATTAAATTTAATGGTTATTTCGTTAATGTCACAGTACGTGTATCTGGATGGACAGAGTGTCCTGTAGTCTTTGAAGGAACTTCTTAATTTACAGTTGAATCTCTTTTCCTTCGTATAATTTCCTCAATAAAGATGATGCACCAACAGTACTGTATGTGGATACCGAAATTAAGAACACTTATTAATTTGGTATTGAATTTCATGGAATGCTGACCAAAGTAATTTGTGTCCGACCTATAACTATAGGACGATAAGAATCTGTAAATTTATAGAAAAAAGAGTTGGGGTAAATCTTAAGTTTGTTGAACAACAAGATCAAAAATCAAATTTATGGGAAGGAAAAGAGGAGACTGTGTTGAAACAATCAAAATGTCATAACACGCTGGTTTCAATTTCTGCAGTATGCAGCATTCTACAAAAGAGATGCAAATTCTCATCAGTCTTATTTTCTTAACAATAAAACTATACTTACTCACAATCTTACTAACTATCTTACTATACTGATAAATATAACAGCATAGTATGGGTACTATGCATATGGTACCCGTACTATGCCGTTATATTTTCCAGGATTGTAAGATGGTTAGTAAGATTATGAGTAAGCATAGCATTATGAGTAAGCATAGCATTACTCTTTTCTTAAACATTACATGGGTGCAACTAAACATAACTATCATTATACAAGCATTCCTCCATTGATTCAGATAGCAATAACTCAGTTGATGATTCTGATTCAATCTATCCGATAGAGATAGGTTGAGAAGAAGAAAAGAAAGGCTTAGGAGGCATCTGCAAGTCGTCAATACTTCCTTCTAACATTTCCATAACTTTGGCCATTGAAGCACGATCTGTTGGCTTCACTTGTATGCACCATAACCCAATCAAACACAATTTTCTTGCTACAACGGTATCACTTTCAGTCACATTCTGGAGCTCTAAGTCTCCATTCATGTTTATTTGGTCATATGCCCATGATGGAAAGCATGCTTTGCTTGAATGAGCAGCCTTTACATCAGAATTTCTTCTCACTCCGGCCATTTCCAACAACAACATTCCGATACTATAAAATCTGACTTACAAAAAACAACTCCAAAGCTCCTTGAAATCAACTCAGGAGCTATGTATCCTATTGTTCTTCTCACAGCACTGATGGACACAAAATCATTTTCTTTTGGATAAAATTTTGCGAGGCCGAAATCTGAGATTTTTGGGATTAAATTATGATCTAGCAAGATATTGTGAGGTTTGATGTCAAAATGAAGAATAGAAACATCACATCCTCCATGTAGATATTCAATCCCTCATGTAGTTTCTCCCGACTAAATGATAACGCTCTACTTACCTTTGAGAAAATATGCCTATCAAGAGATCCGTTAGCCATATATTCATAAGCAAGTGCACGTTTAGATCCCTCCCACCAATTGTACTATATTTACATGGTGAAATCTACCTATTGTGGAAACTTCATTGATAAATTCTTTCGACATTGAAATTTGAGTTTTTTAGTACTTTAACAGCAGTTAAGGGACCACTATGAAGTTGTCCTTTATAAACTGATCCAAACCCTCCTTGACCTAGTTCCTCTTTGAAGTGGTTCGTTATTGCAACTATCTCAGAGTAAGAGTACCTCTTAAGCATCCAAGACTGCTGATTATGCAGAAATATCTCAACTCTATCCCCTATCTTCTAAGTCGCTATATATTTGTTGATAATATACAACAATATGACTATTGGAACAAATATAAATCTACATATAAGAACCACTGCAAGCCATGTATCAAAGAAAAACTCAAATACACGCAAGATGATAAAAATGTCGATTCCAAACATCTCTCCTGGCACAATTAGTTCAGGTTTCCAGTGATATCCTACATACATAATTTATAAAATTAGCACAGGCAGGTATTTGACAACAGAATCGGAATTCCAGCAAAGAAATCGCACCTA